AGGTGATCATGTATTGTGTTATATTATATTTCTGGAAAATTTAAGGGGTAGTTATATAATAATTTTGGACGATCTCGAGCGGTCGGATACTTATGACCGCTACTGTATAACTCTTATTATTGCAATTAAATATAACATTAAATTTTTATTTTTTTTAAGTTTTGGATGAATATATAAAATATGTTGTGTTAGAATTTTGGTTAAAATTAATATCTGAAAGATAAATATAGCTGACATTAAAATTTTTTTTAAAAAGTTAAGAAAGAGATGAGACTAAAGTCTAAGAAGATTATTAATATCAATCTAGTTGATTTAAATTTGATTTTAAATTTTACGCATTATAGCATAATAATATAATTAAAATTTAAAACCAATTATTTAAAATTAGTTATAATAAAACTAGTTTATCATTTTAATAAAATTTTAACTCAGTTATAAATCTGAAATGATTAAACCTAGTTATAAATCTGATTTTTATAACTGGTTTCAATCTCTAGTATCTATTCATTAATTTCTAAGATTAATCCAACTTATGACTGCATCTATTTTACAACAAGATATTGAATTAATATTCTAATTTATATAGAGAATGTAATAGTGAAAATTTTGATTATTATGAGATTACTGATAAGACATTATATGAGGGTCTTAAAGAAACCATCTATCTATTATGCAAATTAGATCATGATGATGAAGAAATAGAAGCTAGGCATAAAGTCAGATCTTACTTTATTAAATGTGAATAGCATGAAATTAAGATAATTGCATAGTCTAGTTACTTTAATCAGAGATGCTTTACATAACTCTATATTTGCTCATACTTTATTATGATATTTTTTAGGGCTAATTTATGTTAACTATTACCTACTGTAATTTAAATTATTTGCAATCATAAAAAGAAAATGACTGAGTCTGATAAAATACTAACCTCAAATATTTAGATTAATATGCAAAATTAAGTGGGTTACCAAGCATTTTGACAGATAAGATTCATTCTAATTTATATAAAAGATATAAAAAAGAAACTGAAAATAAGCCATGGCAATTATCAGAAGCTATGATAAATCTGTCAGCAAAGTCTCAAACTTCTGATATCACTTTCAAAGCAAAACCTGATCTAGAGCTAATTATCAAATCTATATTAAAGCATTTTACATACCTGAAATTTCGAAATAATTTTAGGATATTTAATAATTATAATTTACATCACTTCAGCTATGGAGCTCACTATGTCTTATTTATAATGGAAAACATGGAAATTATGAATTACATGGCTCATGATACCACAAAAATGAGAATCAATTTTCTTATAAATCTGAATTAGCAATGTTGTATTCTCATGATAAGTTGGAATATTATCTTACCTGCAATACTTTAAGCAATAAACTTAAATTCACAATCATAGCATAATATATCACGTGTTAGAGTAAATTATTTATATTGTACTATTATATATTTTTTTTTGATTATAACTGATGGGTAACAATCTTTTTAAAAGTATCAGAATGTAGGTTAAAAATAGTAAATTTCCATTTCGTCTTTTTGTACTCATTTCTATTTTTTTTAGTCCTTATTCATATGAAGGCGATCAGGTTAACAATCATTAATAAGAGAAAAATGTGTAAAACAGTTAATTAAAGATTTCGTAGAACCCTTCAGATATTTTATTCTTTGCATCATTTTAAAATGATAGGAATAGCGGAATAACTAACGAAAAATTTTTTATATAGATTGAGTTGAGTTTAGCGTTATAGGAAAGCTAGTAAAACCACCCTGTCAGTCAATTCTAATAGTAACTATATAGGACGCGATAGCTTTACTTTGGATGATCTACATGAGAATGCATTCTATCGAGCAAATAGAACTTTAAAATCAGAAAACATATCTTTCAAGAATGTTAATTACCTTAGCAGAAAAGGTTTTTATGATAAAACTAAATGCATTAGGTCACCTAATAGCAGTAAATGTAATAGTGTTAGCGGAAAAAGAAAAGATCAAATTTATGTACAGAACGTCAGTTCGCAGTGGAATTCTAATGAAAATAATTACAAAAAAGAATGTTATATAAAATAATCGACTAATAGTAATGTCGAGGTGAGAAATATTTTAATATTACAATGGTGCAATTCAAATTCTGTCCTAACAGAAAAAGAATCCAAAATTTGCAATTATCATTAGGAAAATTATGCTGAATCAGTGTCTTGGCAGGCTATGCATGGATAAAAGAAAATTCGAAAACAGCGTGTTGTCTTGTGATCCTAAACGTATAATATAAAGGAGAAACAATTCTGGAAATCATGTCCCATGTGTTGATGGATGAAAAATAGGATGAAACTCGAGAAGGTTGCAATAATCTGAAAAATCTGTTCATGATAGTTGAAATGATTGCAAATAATTTAGATTATAAACGTGTTGCAGAATTTTTTGACCGTTATATCGAAAGTAGAAATTCTACTACTTATAAATGTTATTTGAAAGATATTAAAGCATATGGTTTTGATTATATCATTCTCATCGGAGATTATTACACTGGATTTCTTTTTCTGGATTGCTACGGTCGTGTATTTGAATGGAAAGACTTAATAAGTGTTTTATGATCGCTTAGAGATTATTCAAGTATGACGTCAAAGGAATCTCTGACTAGACGTGTAATATGGGGTGTAGAGTTTGATGGAATTGTTACAGAATTTAAGGACGCTATGGATGATATGTCAAGATATTGTTTATTCCTTTTTTAGTCTTAATTTTTATAATTAGTTCCTTTTCTTCTAGATTTACCAAATGAAATAACCTTTGACAAACCTGCCACAAAAACGATTGATGTTCACCCTATTGCAAAGAAGAAAAAGAATTCGAAAAAAAGAACTCAAAAAAGAAACAACATTGATCTGATTTCTATATTTTGTTTTGATCAATTGTGATGTGTCCTTTAAATTTGATTTATAGTATTATTCGCATGAACAAATAATAGTGATTATGAAATATACATAGCATAGGAAAAATTTATTATATTAATATATTTTGCATAATCCGCAGGCGTAAATAATAAAGATTTTTTACACGACATTGGTGCTTCATATCCAAATCGTAAAGACCATTTCACCATGTAACTCAAGCTTGTCACACTTCTTCCAATAAGATCCTGAATAAAAATCATATATGATTGAATTTAATTTTTAGGGCGAGGATCATTCTAGATGGCAATTTATACATCGTATTGTGTTACAAAATTTATGACCTTTATTACAACATCCATTGCATTGGATTTATATTCTGTAGAAAGACACAAACCACCTCTACTGCGGGCGATTTCTTAGCCTCCGAAAGATCACAAGGAAAATTACCAGCACATTTTGAGCACCATCTTCCCATATTTTTTATTCGATAAAGAATTGTAGACCATTCATGGCCTTTGGCACATCTCCAAAGCATCGGGGTAACATATTCCGCAGAAAGGCAATTACCTTGCTAACAAAGACGAAGTTCTTCCTAAAATAACAATTAAAAACGTCTAACTAATTAAAATTATTTTGGACTGTAATTTTCTTTTGTTATAATATATTAATTGTTTGCTACAAAAACTACTTGAAAATATGGTTAATATACAAATGAAAAAAATTTTTTCGAATACTAATCGTGGACTAGTTGACGATTTTTGTCGATCAAATTATGCATAAAATCTAACAGTAATAATTATAATATTACACCTCGCAGATTTTGATTTAATAGTATTTGAAATACCCCATTGTTAAACGGAACTATTTGTTGGGAGTAGCCTAAATAGAAAATTCGTTAATCAAAAGAAAATAATTAATTGCACACGCATCTTGAATTTTTCTTATTAGAACTCGGAATCCCGACACTATTAAGCTAATGTCTATTTACTCCCTTTGACAAAAAAAACTGGCTTAAAGCTTAAAGAAAATCTCGGAATCTATGTTAAAAAATAGTTAAGCTATTCCTAATATAGAAAAGTAAACTCGGAGAATCAAACGTATCTAAAATCAAATGTCATTTACAATATTTACAATAGGCTTAATCAAAGCAATTCTAAGAAAATCATATTCGCTATATGTTACACGCAATTAAAAAAAATCATCGGGAGGGACATGTCCCGTGATGCCAATATTTGCACGTGATCATGTAATCTGATATAAATATATACATAATTTTTTTTTTAAATGATAATTATTCATTAAAAAATGAAAGATTGGTTAAATTTCTTTGGTTGGGTATTTCTCCCTAATTTAATTACAAATTGGATTCAAAGTACATATTATAGAATAGTGTATCCAGCTGGAGCGAATATACCAAAACGTGGACAACCAAAATATGCATTACATCGCAAAAGAATTTACATATTTGTCGTATTGGCCTATTTATTTTATACAATTGTTGAAGTAAGTTATTCCTTACCGCCAAATTATTATAATACGCTTGAGGTTAATCAAGATTTCACCATTAAAGAACTTAAAACTAATTTGAGAAAACTGTGAGTGAAACATTTTTCGAACTTTTATTTTATTTATTTTATTTTTTTATTTTTTTCGCGATTTAAAGATTCTAATAATTTTTTTTTTTTTTTTTTTTTTTTTTTTGTAGTCAACTAATATATCATCCCGATCGAAATTCAGGAAAACATACCGAGGCGGATTTTATATATTTGCGTACTGCCTTTAACACACTAAATAATCCTACAAAGCGATTTGCGTATGATAGGTAAGAAATTCATTATAAATTCATTATAAGGTTAACAAAGAAAAAAAAGGAAAGAGAAAACTTTAAAAAGAATTCTATTTTATTAAATATTCATTTTTTTTTTTTTTTTTTTTTTAGATTTGGATCGGAAATAAGTACATGGAATCAATGTAAAACTATTCGAGATTACCTTTCAGTTGGAAGAAATAATTTTTTAGGATTTTATTTAGGAACGGGACTCCTTTTAATTATCATAAACATATTAGGAAAAGGAGAATTTGGGAAATATTGGAGATTTGTGGTATTTTTTGGTATGGCATGTATTGAGGGTTCATTAATTTTATATCCAAAACCTTCAGCTTTTGTAACGTATATAACGAGAAATTATGTAATCTTTGAAAAGATTACAATATTTCGACAACTATTTATTTCACTCTTTATTGCACTTTCACAAGTTGGACCTGTATTATTTCCTCCGCAAAAAGCAGAAAATTTACGTCCAGTTCTACAACACCTTGAAATTTTAAGTAATGTTGCCCATGAAGATGTTTTAAGTCAACTCAAATTAGGATTTTATCCTTTTCGAAATGATCAAAATGCTCAAGTTGAATTAAAAAGAAAAATGGAAAAATTGATGGTGGATAATTATTTACGTCAAAGGGATCCTGAATTTAGTCAAATTCATCAACGTATCATATCTAGTCGTGAAAAAAACAAATGAGTATCACTTTTTCAAATATATATAGCTTTTAATTTTATAATTTAATCAGATATTTTTATCTTTGCTCATGAAATATCATCTTTCGAATGATTTTAATATTTTATTAAATATAATTGTTATTAATCAAATAAAATTCATAGATAGTTGAAGTTAACAAATATTACTTCAATCTTAGAGCACTTTCATCGTTTCAGAATGGATGATCATATGATTTTTTTTTTTTTGATGATCAAGAAGAAAACGAGTTGAATGGTTTATAACGCTAATTGAGATTTAAGCATTTTATTTTATACTTATCTTTAAATCCATAAATAGTATCCGGAACATTACCTATTTTAGACTTAAAAATTAAATTTAAGGATCATCTCACCGCATATCACAAAATATACGTCATTCGCGTATCCAATCACTATTTCTATTCTGCAATCTATAAAATAAAATAAAATAAAAATAAATAAAAATAAAACATATCTCCATTTCAATAATGGAACAAAGTTATTACAATCGTAGACGTGCGTTTATAGAATCTCAAATAGAATTAATTGAACATGAATTTACGCCTTCAGAAAAATGGTTATCTAAAGCTCAAAATGCAAATGATAAAATTCCATTAACCATCATTGATTCGGTTTTAACAAAATGTATGTTAAATACATTACTTTTTATCATTATTTTGATAAAAATCAACCTTCTGTATTAAAAATACTTTCTTTTAAAAAAAAAAAAAAAAAAAAAAAAGTGAATATGAATAATAGAAAACAATATAAACAAACTTTTAATCGACAATCCATTCGTCAAATTCTTGAGCAACTTCAATACCTCTGGGATCAAAAACGTAAAGATGCTTTAGAAGGACGTGTTAGAGTTGAAAGTCGGGAAAATTTTGATGATTTAAAGTAAGATGATAACAAGTTTTTTTATTTTATGTAATGTAATTAATTACCCTTGACCTTATCAATTTAATAATAGGTGGATTGAATCATTTCCTGAGGAATGGCCGCAGAATTCAAATTGTGAACTGGATGATGAACAATTAGAAAGGTAAATAAACTAACCTTCAGTGTAAGATATATTATTTATTTTCGTTTTATTTTGCTTAGGTATGCCCAATTACGTACACGTGTCCACAAAATACAGGAAGAATATATTGCTATTAAAGAGAAATATAATCATTACGAGGTACATCAACGTGTCATTTATGTTAAAAATATTTATGTTTTTTTATTTATTTATTTAATTTATACGATTTCATTTGCTTTTTTTACAGTCTCTTCAAAGCCTTGTCGCTCCCTTAAATAAGTCATCAATCCAGCAAAATATAATCACAAAGAATGCTCCGGTAATTAATGAAATCAAAAAAATGCGAGTTCTTGGTAAGTTACATATATTTATGAATTTTATTTATTTACGTATTATAATATTAACAAACATTTTTATCTTAGTATCTAAGCTGCAGAGTACTTTGCAGAGGAGATCAGAATGCCTAAATAAAAACCTGCCCAAAAGTAATTGATTTTTCAATATAAAAAGAAATTTAAACATTCAAAGCTGCTTGGCTAGTAACTTGTAAATTCTCAGAGTATGGTTTTAGAGCTGGTTCTACATAATCTTTCAAAAATTTATCAACTTGTTGTGGAGCACGACCAATAAAAGTTTTAGAGTCCAACAAAGATTCAAGCTGAAAAGAGAGGTTTTTTTTTCATTTTTTCTTTTAGCAAATCTTTTCATCTTGTGAAAATATTAACCATAAAATTAAAATTGATTTTATTACCTCATTCCAAATTGGTTTGAAATATTCTGTTTTCTTGATTCTTTCGATTAAATCATTTTCACCACCTTCTTTAACTTTACTTGCAGCTTGATGGCTTAAAACACGAATTTCTTCGTGGCATTGTTGTCGATCACCTCCTTTTTTAACTAAAGCCATAATAACATTTTCTGTGGCCATAAAAGGAAGTTCTTGTGCTATATGACGTTCAATAACTTTGGGATAAACAACGAATCCTTCGGAAACGTTTTGTAAAATAGATAATACTATATCTGCCGTTAAGAAGGCCTCCGGAAGAGATATACGACGATTGGCACTATATAATTAAAATTTTTTATTATCAAACTTATATACATATAAATATTGAATGGATGAGGACGATGATATTTAAAACTTGCCTGTCGTCTAAAGTCCTCTCAAACCATTGTACACTATTTGTCATTAAGGCATCTTGGGCAAGGATCATTAAATGTCTAGCTAGACTACAAATTCGTTCACAACGCATTGGGTTTCTTTTATAAGCCATTGCGGAACTACCAATTTGATCTTTTTCAAAAGGTTCTTCAATTTCTTTTAGATTTGCTAATAATCTTATATCAGTTGCAATCTTATGAGCCGTTGCACCAAAAGAACTTAAAGCATTTAAGATATCAACATCAATTTTACGAGAATAGGTTTGTCCGGTAACAGGATATGCTTCTTTAAAATCAGCAAGTTCGGTAACGCGTTTATCCAAGGCTTCTACCTAAGAATATAATTATTATAAGAAATCACTATGAATCAGGATTTTTTTTTTTTTAAAAAAAAAATCCAGCTCACCTTTTCATGGTCACCTTCGAATAAAGCCAAAAATGAGGCTTGCGTACCTGTGGTACCTTTAACACCACGAAATCCGATATCATCACGAGCACGAGTTAAGTTACGAAGATCCCATAAAAGTTCCTAAAACATCTTAATTTTATTAACAAATAAGAATATTTTCATTGAGATAACCGAAATAAAAAAAAAAGAAAAATTGAATAGAATTAAATAAAGTAATTTATCAACCTGAATCCATAAAGTAGCTCTTTTTCCAACAGTGGTAAGTTGAGCAGGTTGAAAATGCGTAAATCCCAACGTAGGCAAATCCTTATATTCATTGGCAAATTTGCTAAATCTATCAATAACTCTTGCTAATTTGTCTAATAATAAATTAAGTCCTTGTTTCAATACGATCAAATCTCCATTATCCGTAACATAACAACTTGTAGCTCCTAAATGGATAATTCCTGCAGATTTTGGAGCTACTAAACCAAATGCGTGAACATGTGCCATGACGTCATGACGCCTTTTTTTCTCCTCTATTGCTACTACCTCGAAGTCTTTAGGTGTCAGATTCTATGATAAATCAAAAAGTATTTTAAAGGATTTTAATTATTTTCCGAAAGCACTTTAATAAGTAAAATTGTTATTACCAGGTGTGCTTCCATTTCTTTAATAGCTTCATCGGTGATACCAACTAAACCTAATTCTTTTTCTGCTATAGCCAAGTTTAACCAAAGTTTTCTCCAGGTATAATAACGTGTAGCTGGAGAAAATAGTGCGGCCATTTCTGGCGATGAATATCTTGAAGTTAAGGGACTTTCATATTTATCATAAGTAGACATTGTGGGAACAGATAAAAAAAAAGAAGGAAAAAAAAAATTGTTTTCGAAAATTACGAAAAATATTTTTGATGAGATTGATTAAGTCACAAGTCACGTGACAGTCGTTAAATAATAAGCGTTTTATTATATTACTTTTTTTTTTTTTAAAAAATATATATATATATATATACAAAAAAAAAAGAAAGATAAATTATATAATAAGAGAAGGAAATTATCTTGCATCACTCATCCACTTCTTTTGATATGTTAATGCATCTCCCATAGTTGCTTGTATATTTATTCTTTTATGTTCTTCTCTTGATACAATACGTTCAAGTATTTCGCCTGATCCTCGAATTAATCTAATTACAATTGAATAAGTTAGAAGTTACACAAACGAATAACCCTTTATTGATTGAGACTTACCTCACTCGACCATCCACAGGATCTATAACCTCTTTAATTACTGATCGTTCCGCTTCATATTCTTTTTGCGTTTGAGGCATCATAGAAGGTCTTTTTTGCCTCTTTTCAATCTCTTCTTCCTCTTGTATTGTAATGCTAGAACTTTGTATAGGTTCCTTCTTCATACGAAGTTTTTGTTGCCATTCTCTAATTTCTTGAAATAATTGAACTTCATTTGGATCCTTTTCTTCATGCTTTTTTTTCTTGTGTTTTTTATGTTTCTTACGTTTCTTTTTACTTTTCGATTTATGATGATGATATCGTGTTGAATCCTTCGAAGAATGATCAGTAGAATTAGCAGAATTCGTAGTATCAGTACTATAATCAATTGAACCTTCTTTAGATAATGAGTAGTGATGCTTTTTGTGCTTTTTATGTTTGCTCTTTGCTTTTGATTTTTTTCTCTTTGGTGAAAGAGATCGAGAATGTGAACGTGAACGTGAACGTGATAAAGAGTGTGTTCTTATTCTTTTTGTTCTATTAAAATTATTATCACGTTCCCTTTCTCGTGAGTAATTCCTTTCTTTATTATGACTTTCTTTGCTATGTCGATAATGTGAATATGAAGAAGAACGTATAGGTGATCTCGAACGGTGCATTTTGTTGTAAATTTAACGGACTTAAAAAAAAGGCATGAAATATGATTGATTAAAAATTTTGACCACTCATAATTAACGTTTTTGATTGGACGATCATCATTTAAAGTTTTTACCCCATTTTTGTCATCAAGCAAATCAAGCAAAAAAAAAAAAAATTCAATAATGAATTCTTTAACCAAATTATTTCCACATTTAAAATTATCACGAGATGCATTAACCAAATATTTCCCTTCCACTAATTCAACGAAATTCAAATCAATTTCTCAAAATAACATTACAACGAATTCTAATTCTCGTCAAAATTCAACGAAAATTTCAAGTGGATTTTTTAAAATTACTTTACGACGTTCACCAATTGGTTTACCTTTAAAACGTCGACTCGTTGTACAAGCTCTTGGTTTACGTCGTTTACAACAAACAGTTTATCATTCTCAAACACCTTATATCGCTGGTATGATACTTAAAGTAAAAGAAATTTTACAAGTAGTAAATGTTAAGAGAATTCCGGCTCCTGAAGAAAGAAAGAAACGTGCTGAAAAAGGTTATGTTATCATTAAAAAACATGATCCAAACTTATAAGATGAAATTATTAAAAGTTAATCTTTTTAGTCTAACAGTTTATATTATATTACATAAAAGTAAATAATATGACAAAATAAATAATAGTGTTTCAATGCTATTTTATCTCGTAAACTTTTTGAATGAATTAAATAATTATATGGGTAATTCAAAAGAAACACCTATCTTCGCTTCTCGCGCAAGTTGTACAATCTTTGATAATTGTACAGATTTAGAAGCAGCATCATCAAGGTCATCAACCGAAATAATACGTAAACCTGACTCCGCGATAAGTTTCTTTGCTGCTTTAACTTCAGTCCCTTGCAATCGAACAATGACCGGCAATGATAGCGATAATTGCGTGGTTGCTTGAATTATACCTTGAGCGATAATATCACAACGCATGATACCTCCAAAGATATTTACTAAAATGGCAGTAACTTGCGGATCGGATGATATAATTTTGAATGCTTCGGTAACTTGTTCTGCCGTCGCCCCTCCGCCAACATCCAAGAAATTGGCAGGTTCTCCTCCGTGAAGTTTAATTATATCCATGGTAGACATGGCCAAACCGGCTCCGTTTACTTAATTTCATTTAAATAATTATTAAAGGGAAAGGTTAAACGAACTAAATTTTATGAAAAAATGTTATTACCTAAACAACCGATTTGTCCATCCAATCCAATGTAATTCAAATTATATTTGGCTGCTTGCACTTCACGCGAGTCTTCTTGTGATGAATCACGCAAGGCAAATACATCCTTTTGACGGAATTCCGCGTTATCATCGAAATTAAGTTTTGCATCCATACAAAGAACTAAAAAATATATTATATATAAATTATTGTTAACTTATTATATTATTGCGATTTTAAACATTTACCTTCGTGATCGGCAGATTCTGCCATAGGATTGATTTCAACTTGGGTACAGTCTTTATCAGTAAATAATTGATAAAGTTTTAGGATCATGTCAGTTGCCTAAGATGGGAAATTTTTTTTTATTTTAGAAATTGTATTGGGCTTGAAGTTAAAACTACTTGATTTATATACAAACGTCATCAAGAACTCTCGGAGAAAATCCCAATTTTTCCATTATATTTCTAGCATCCTCCTTTTTTAAGCCCTCGTCGATATCAATTGGAAATGTTATAATAGCTTCGGGATTTTCAGCAGCCACACTTTCAATATCAACACCACCTTGAGAAGAAGCAACAATGACAGGTCCTTGGGATTTTCTATCTTGTAGAATGGCAAAATAATATTCACGACGAACGAATTTACGTTCAACGACAAAAACCTATAATACAAAATATAAAGTAAGAATAAAAAAAATTTACAGTATAAAAAAGCATGTCCATAGAAATTATAATTGTTCCTTACCGCATTACATATTTTTCCAGCTGCACCAGTTTGCTTTGTTATAAGGTTATAGCCAAGCATTTGCTCGGAAAACATCCTGGCTTCGGCTGCACTATAAAATAAAGGTGGTAAAACTTAAATACATAATGATTGATATGTGTCTTATAAATTACATTAAATAGAACTTACGAAAAAATTGCTCTAACTCCTCCCTTCAGACCACTTGTGAAAGTACCTTTCCCGCGACCACCTGCAAGTACCTGAGCTTTGATAACCGCGTCCTCAGTACCTAAAAATGAATTACAAATAATAATATTAGTTTAAACTGATAATCAATCTCTTTTAACTCAAACTTTGTTAAAGGTCAACCACACAAACGCGAGATTATATTATAAAAGAGAACTATAAAACTCACAAACCTAGATTTTGAGCAACTTCGTAAGCCTGTTGAGGAGTTGTAGCAACTCCACCTTTTGGAGTTTTTACACCATACTTATTCAAGAGTTCCATTGACAAATATTCATGTATTGCAAGACCACGCTTTTGTTGCCCTTTGGTGAGCTAGTAAAATAATACAAATTAATTTTTCAGCGAATTTTTTTTTCTATAAACATGAAGTAGTAATTATGTTACCATAGAAGCTCGGCTGGTAAAACCTTTAGTAAGATTCAAAGAGCGAAACATTTTTATGAATAAATTTCAAGAGAGAAAGTAAATCAATTGTTAGATTTAAGATTAAAGTAATCTGAATTACATATCAATATTGATTATCAGATTTGTTAATTGGGACAATGATTTTCTGCGGTGATAAGTTAAAAATTCTGTGATATCATGTTACATTGATTTTAATGCATTCTTGTATAAATTAAAATATTGTACCCCCGGATACAAAACACCGATAATTGATTTAAAAAATCATCTTTTTTGACCTCGATTAAACCAATGATTTTCTCGATCATACGCGATTCAATTCCATAATCAAGATTTCCACGCCCATTTTTTTCCTCGAGCAAGCTTCTCTGGTACGATCTTTACTAATGCCCTTCTCAAATTACATAAAGGAATACCACCCAAATATACACAATTAGAAAATGTATTATTAAATTAGATTGTTGAGCAACGCCAATTACAATATGCTGTTACTCGAACGATGATAATTACAAAGCATTTTCACTTGCTCAAAATATAGATCTTCAAAATCTACAAAAAAACAAACATTTAAATATACTTTTTAAATCGATATTATTTATCAAATTGACGTCGTACAACCATTGCACAGCATCTACCTGAAAATTTAGAAGAAAAAATGCGTATGCTAAAGTTAAGGCAGATAAAGCTGAGCTTGATAGGAATGTTTATAAAGCAGATGATGAGAACAAAAGGCGTGATGCTGAGCAAAGTTTTCTTAATTATATTTTGAATAAACGTATCCAGTATAATTATCCTTTACATTTAGTTGGAAATATAGATAAAACCCTTCTCACCTTTGATATATTAAATCTAACAACAATTGAAAAACGTGGAACTCATACATTTAGTATTAAAACTATTGATAATGAGAGAAAAAAAGTTTACTATTATTCTTGAATAGAACAAAACTGCCTCCATTATGTATATTTAAATTAAAACACATACCTTAAGAAAGCTTTTCAAATTGTGTATTTATTCATACAAATGAAAAAGGCTGAGTTAATGAAATAGCAATGCTTTAGTAAATTGATAACATTTGGACTAGAAGAGCACCTTTTAATAATTCTAATTCACTTTTAATTCTTAATTGACTCAATTAAACTTCAATTCCTTAATTAAAAATACAAATTTGGCTGTAAATTCCTGATAAACTAATATTTAAATTACAACTATTAAATATTTATATTAATAAAAGTTTTAATGAAAATATATGTATAATTAAATATTTTAGAGAATCATCTATATACTAAAAAATGAAAACTATCGTAAGTTTAAAGCAATAATTATTCTTATATATTCTCATTTAGAGTTTTAGGTTTGAAATTAGATTAGTTTTGAATAATATTTTT